GTCGGGGTGGCAGATTGCCCCCTCAGTCCCTCTCAGGAGGGAGTCTCCCACAACAAACACCTTACGTTTTGTCTTGGGGAGAGCAGGGGCGGTAGTTGGGCCCATGTTGCCTGTGTGCATACCTGATTCAGCAGGTTCAGCTGGAGCAGCAAGAGGTGCATACCTGATTCAGCAGGCTCAGCTGGAGCAGCAAGAATTAAAGTGCCTGTAATTAGTTAAAGAGGTCATATTTTTCATTTGCTGCAATCTCCAGAGCCTATCCTGTAGGGGCCCCATGTTACCCAGTGCCGTCTTCTTACTCCCTATGTGTTTGAAAAAGGACTTTTTGTTATCCCTAATTCTGGTTGCAGGCTACTTCCACCAGAGCATCAAGGGGGGCAAGATGCTGTGGGACAAACAGGCAGAGCTGAACATCCCACAACACAGGATCATGCAGGATGTGGAGTCTCAGTGGAACTACTCAGACCCCTGCCAGCCTGTACCTTGCTCTGGGCCCCTCCGGTGCTGGCCAAGAGACACTGGTCCCAAGATGGTGATTGGGATGCGCCTATCAAGGGGCGTGGCTACCCAGCCAGCCCTCGACAACTTGCCAAAACTGAGTAAGCAGCCCTCTGTCCAAAATAATTGCCTGCCTCTGCCTCAGAGCAACACAGCTACAATCTACACCCCTAGCACCTGGTCAGCTGACTGGAAGGAGGCAGGGCCCTGGGCACACCTAAGTGCCAGGGCTGGGGCTGGCAGGGAGAGTTCTCTGGCACCTGCTGGAGAACAAGCTCCTGCAGGAAAGAAAAGAAAGGCTCTGTGACAGTTTGGCTGCCTGACATGCTGGTGCTACTGTGCTGCTTACCTGTTGTTATTTAAAGTGATGGACCAGACTGAAGTTGTAGGGGAGGAGGAGGCCTCATTGGGGCATGCTACTGTGTCATGTAGAGGCCCCAGTACCAGTGAGGGTACGCCTTAATGCACATACAGTCACACATGTCATGACTTCTGCTTGTCAGCAGCTTGAGGTATAGTTTCCCAGAAACCCCTGCACCTAACTCCTTTAAACCTGGCAGGCTTCATGGCCTCAGCAGAGGCTACTATTCATTCTTGCTGTTTTCATTTAAATCGGGAAAGAAATGACAAAGTTATATGCATTTTCATGATTCCCCATTATAGCCTATGGGCGAAATGTCGAAACAGCTTTGAAACAGCAAAATGGAAGTCGAAATGGAAGGGTGCTGTTTTGCACAGCCCTACTGGCCACTAGACTGTTTTCCCACTGTGGTAGAATAAATTAAATCAAAGCTGAGTTAAAGTGGGGATAAGTATGGGACAGCACAAGAGATTGTATAGAGCTTGCGCCACTTCATTGAAACCCCGCAGGTAACTTCTCCACTATCTTCATGATTCAAACAGATTTTTGTGGCATCAGGTGAATTATAATGATACCAATGGAAGGAAAGCGATTTAATTTTTTTTGTCCATATGGATGTCCCAGAATAATGTACAAATGTTAAAAGATGATGATCCGGCATCTCCTATTTCATACCGTCTGTTCAGGCATTGGTTCCTCCCTGTGGTATATTAAGCCTTTCCATTTGAAGTAAATACAAAAAGGGGATCCCTCTCTTCTTGCCCTCCTGGCAGGGACACTCTTTGAAGCATTAAGTCACTTTTTTGGTTGTAAGAAATATTTTGGAATTTAAGGCTTGGATCTTGCATCCCTAAAATGGGTAAAGGCTGCAGAGTTTGGACAAGCTAATCAAGGTTTCTCTGTGCAAGCCTTTTTTTTGCAAATATTTTAGACTAAAAATTGTTAGAAAAAATTGAGAGTATTTTCAGCCACTACATAAAAAGTTAAAATGTAGCTTAAATTGCATTCTGATGGTTTAAGCTGGGTAAATATGGAAATCAGTTTATTTTTTAAAGTGCCTTTATATTGCACAATGAACTCAGGGATTTTTTTTTTGTCTTTAAAATTTGGTTCAAGTTTTGTACTAGAGAGAGACAAAGCTGATTTTTATCTTTCTATCTGTGTGAGGCACATGAAGGAGGAACACTGCTCAAATTGTTTTTAAGCTTTCCAGACATCTAGGACTCCGCAGCATTAGTGAGTCAGGGTGCAGGTGCAGTTCACAGCTGGGAACAGTGACAAAGGACAAAGTGAATCATCCTCTCTCCCTTTTCTAATCTTCTGCAATGTGAAAACACAGATGTGGCGTTATTACAGAATTAAATTTGATGTAATTTTTGCTTCTTGAAACTAATCGTCTCTTTCCCCTCCCTTTTATCCCCCTCCTCCCCTTCCCCCCACCCCCAAACAATTCTTGGTTGTGGTATTTGGAACTGTTGTATATCCAATAAAACCACAGGGCTTATTATAGGTGACAATCTGCCAACAGTAAAAGTGCAAGCTTGCTGAATTTGATACAAATGTCTTGAGAGGATTTAAACACAAGAAAAAGGAAAATAAAAAGGAATTTAAAATGCAGTACTTAACTATGTCTGCCCTCTCTTGCTTGGTTGTTTTGCCTAGATTTAGAAGGTTCTGCAAATTTAACTGCAGAGTTATAGCAAAGGCTTGCTGTATTTTATGTGACCTGTTCTCAGCAACATTATCAAGGTAAAACTTACGAAGAAATATTTCCTGAAGGATTATCAGTCAAACAGAATTCTTGGCATCGCCAACTATTTTAAAGCCTTTCCTGATTACTTTTATTTGTGGGGCGCAGTTGAATCTCCATTCTGTTGATACCTCAGTTCTGCCCTTCTACCTATTGAGACTCTTCTTTGATGTGGTCATCTATGACATCTCGCAGGACTCAGGACAAAAAGCTGATTGTGTCTCCAGTGGGTAACTCATTCTGTAACACTGAATTTTGAGTTACTTCACTAAATTTTCAACTTCAAATGCTCATGCTAAGCCAGAGCAATGTGACCCCCTTGTTTCCCCCCCTTCCTTTTAAAAACTATTTAATTCTTTGGGGGTCTGTGACTCTGAGTTGAGAATGCTTAGTAACATGCTTTGCTTTAAAGTGAATAGCCCTGTTGCCTTCAATTAAACCAGTAACATTCTTGAAGTTATGTGAGTGTATGCAAGATCAGAACATGTACAGAAGATACCATCTTTGATGTGACAGTAAATTTGGTTCAAGAAACAAGTGTAGTTTTTATGGTTGTTTTTTTCCCAAATAGCTAGTTATTAAACATACTCTAAGGAGATCACTAGTAACTGCTGGAAATATATTCAAAAAATTCTGAGCAGGATAATGAAAACTGGAGAATTACATTATCTGTAATCCTTTCCACATACTTAAATGTATTAATTAGATTACCCAGAAAGAAACTTCTTAAAGTGGCAGGGGAAAACTTCCTGAGACATGTCCAGGCACCTGCAAGAATCTGTCAGCCAAAAGCCTGCTGTGGGGATGGAAAATCATCTTTTCTCTCACTTCTGTGGTTATGGCTTTTGTGCCATCTCCCACAGTAATGTGAGGGTAGTTCAACATTACTGCAGTTTGTTTTTAAGTCCTGAGTGCTGGAGAACTCAGAGGAACAAGAAGCCTTTCATAGGAAAAAGAGAGGAAAAGGAAAGGGAGAAGACTGAGGGGTCATCTGGGTACAGTGAGAAGTTCCATTGCCATTAAAGAAACACTGTGTTCATTTCCTCCAGTCCCCTGAGCCTAATCTGTGAGCATTTTGACATTTAATTTTTACTGCTGGTTGTTATCATGGTTATTCAATAGTTTGTATTGGGGTATCACCTACTGACCCCAATCATTATTTAGGTCCCATTATGCTTGAGGCTACATAGACACATGGAAAGAAATTGCCTATACTGGGAGGAACGTATAATTTACAACAATAGCAGTTGCAGGGAAATTAGATGCTAAAACTGGAGTCTGCTAAGTAATGTTCATTATACTTGGAATGAGGAACCATTTGTCTTAATGCAAATACAATTTTTCAGAACTTAAGGATCTCAAATATTCGCAGTCCTTTGTCTAACAAATCTTCTTTTTCAGTTCATTACAATGCTGCCCTTGGAGGCTCCCAGGAGGAAGCATGTTCTTTCCATCTCTTTATCACTTTTAGCTTTCTTTGAACAGCCTGTCAGCATAATTTTTGCAGAATACCAAGATGGCAATTGTACCCCTAAATAGCAGTATTCTTATAGCCTCTTTTATTACCAGTATGTATTTTGGTCTGTTTGAGCCAGAACTTTGGTTCAACAGGGGGTAAAGCAGAGGGGCAAAGACATGGGTTCAAAATCAAATATGCTTCCTTCTAAATATAGCTCTGAAATGGCATGCATTGAGGAAAGAATGAAAAGCACTCTTCATTCAATGAGTGGAACTTTCCACTTTGAAAAGAAACCTTTGCAATGGTGATACATGGCAATGTAATGCCTGAGGCAGTACAGGACATGAAACACCACTTGGAGTGGCAGTAAGAAGGGGCTTCAATGCTAGAAGTGAGAGCACAAAGAACAATTATACTTAAACACTAAATACTGCCTAGTGGTGCCTTTGTTTTGGGAAAGTTCGACAACTGAAACTGCTGCATTTTTCTCTTCCTGCTGTTGATGTTTTCTGGGGCAAGGGTAACGTGGCCTCTTGGCACAGTTGGGGTTGCATTATAATGCCTTCTGCCCCTTTTCATTGCTCTTGTTTCAGGTTGTCTGCAGACACAGGCAGATATGTCTGCACCAGCTCTATTCTATCCATCTTTTCAAAAACGCTTCTTCTCGATTGTGAAGGAGTTACTTTTTGAAAAAGAATGGTACAAGCTGAGACTCAAACATGCACATCATTCCAGAAATGGAGGTTTAGACTATCGTACACATGCCTTCAAGGTCTAGCAATGGAGAAAGGGCAAGTTTTAGGCTGGCTTGCAAATCTGGGCTCTCTCATTCCTAATGACCAAAAAGATCACTTTGTGTTGTGTTGTTTTCCTTTCGTTTACACAAGATAACTTCATAGCTCTGCAATAAATCCTTTATCTTTGTAATGCAGGTAACAGTCACAACAATTGGATATGGAGATAAAGTACCACAGACATGGATTGGGAAGACAATAGCCTCCTGCTTCTCAGTATTTGCTATATCTTTTTTTGCTTTGCCAGCGGTGAGTGGGAGCTTGACACCAGTCTTTTAAGTCTGTGTGTAAATAATATACTACACGTTAAGTGATGCCTTTGGTAGCAAAATGTTCCAGAACATACTATGCAGTTTATTGAATCTTTTAACTTTTTAATAGGCCTCAATGGGAACTAAATAGATAATTCCTAGCTCTAAAATAACATCTTCGTCCATAGATCTCAGGGCACATTCCAAAGGATGTTAGCATTGTCCACATCTTACAAAGGGGGAAACTGAGAAAGAAAGGAGGGTAGGGACTTTCCCCCAAATACTATTAGCAGAGTATTACTAAGTAGTATCCCCTCATGCTATTACCAGAGGTGGGTATAAAACCCAAGTCTTCTACTCTGGGTAGGTCTATATTTTAACCAATAAATGGTAATGGTGAAGTGAAATGGAGTGTGAAATGTATGGCCAGTGGGCCAGATCCAGCAGGGTGTTGTTCAAATCAGGTGAGACCTGATTATTTTGACCAAGTTTCAATGCAAGTTTGTTCCATGTGACACTCAGTAGGTATTTACCCATAATACTCAAAGATATAATACTCAAAACTAACTGCAGAGTCAGAATTGGATACACCTACAGCTCTGTAATTTATTTCCTTAATTTATATCTACATTAAAAGAAATGTGCTAGATATGCATATGTGTTAGCATAATATTTCCTTTAGTTCTCCCACACTTTGTCTGACAGGTCAACTAAGCAGTTCCTTTGTGAGTGGAGGAAATAAGTTCAAGGGACAGGTAGAATTCAGTTGTGAGCTCTACATTTGCTTCTTCCACCATCACAAGCAATTGTCTTTGCAATGTTGTAAAGCATGGCTATGTGTTCCCCATAAATGCTAGCTGCAGACATGACCCTTAAGTCTTTTGGGGACAAACCATTTGCTGATTGCTATAAAGGAGTCAGTGAATTCATATGATTCCCAGAAAACTTTTAATATCTTGCATGATGGGATTGGATAAAAATACTCCCTTCATAAGTGAGAGAAATTTTAGTTAAATTAATTTTGATTATTCTAAAAGTGGCCTGCATCTACAAGAAACATTTTTTTTTTCATGTTTTAAATATTAGTCCAAAGTACATAGGATATTGCCCAAGACTAACCAGTACTTGTATGTGTGTGTTTTCTTTTCCCCTCCCCAAGGGGATTCTAGGTTCTGGTTTTGCCCTGAAAGTACAACAGAAACAACGTCAGAAGCATTTCAACAGACAAATTCCAGCTGCAGCTTCTCTGATTCAGGTGAGTATTTGAAGTGGGGTGGGGAAGGGCACAGGGAAATACAATCTGGTGGTCAAAACAAAGTACCAAGAGTTACGATGTCCTGATTTTAATCCAATATTGTTGCTGTCTTCCTTTTAATCATTAAATCTTTTTGCTTCAATTTGTGTTCTTGACTCCTCTGGATAGTTACCAAGTGCATTCATAATATTGGTGCCATATATGACATGACTCTTGCATTAAATACAAGGAACCAGCCTTATTATAAGTAAAGGCATTTTTTTAATGACTCCTTTCTATATTCCCTTTAATACTATGTATATTCTAGATCATGGGATGAAAGGAGTTGGGCACATGTATATATAGGCAGTTTGGGAGGGGAGCCTCAATATTACATTTTGTAATGTATGAGAAAATGTCAACTTGCTCAAAGATATTAAAATATGGCACAATGCAAGGAAAAACAAGTAAAGCAGGAGTACTTACTAGGTGCTAAAGGCTATTTCTGTTTTATGGTGGAAATTTCTATCACCATGGGCTGTGGATTAAGCTCCAGCTTCCACTGCTAATACTAAAAACAGCAGGCCTTGAAGTACATGCACTAAAGTGAATATGGACCTGTGAGTGATGGTTCTGAGCCCTTATGGGGGAGACTGCATTCTCTTTAACATGTTGTTATTCTGTTTAGAACCCTTCACAGCTATTTAACTGGGTTAAAGACTTTTAAAATATGTTTGCATGTAGCTTTTCTTTAGAAAACAAGGCCCATTTGTTCACATAGAGCATTCTTTGGTGTTTACTTTAGACTCTATGGCGGTGCTATGCAGCGGAGAAATCATATAGTTCTACAGCAACATGGAAGATCTATGTTATGTCACCTGCTCAAAGTACAAGAAAACCACCAGCGCCATCTAGCCCTAATCTGAGAAAACAGGTTAAAAGGAATTTACTGTGTTCCTCTTTTATTCTTGATTTTAAGTTGGTTGGGATACTTCAATAGGCTTATAGCTGCTGAAGTGCATTCATAGACATTTGGACTGACATTTGCATACACCTATAGTGGGCCATTTAGTCCACTTTTTCTGTATCACACCAGAATCAAGTGAATTAGCCTTAAAACAGCCCCAGTGGATGGATGTCTCCTTCCTCTCGAGTGGATGCACTGGTCCTTATTCTCCAATACCTTGGAGAATACTATCTGGAGTGAGGGTAAATTGCTCTAAGGTGTCATCTGGTAATACTGTATACTTACTCTGCATTCACGCTGTACTATTGTTATGAGTACAGAAGGTGAAAAGCAGTTTAAATCAGTGCTTGGGCTCTGCATTTGATTTCTGATATATAATTTTATCCCATCTGTTTCAAGTGTTTAGTTCTATGGTAATTATTTGAAAAAGTGCCATTGGCAAATTTCTCTGCTTTTGACTAAAATAAGGTGAAACAGTAGTGGATAATCAAATCTAAACACTACCCTCTTATATTTGTTGTAGACTTTTTAAAGTTGTTATTGATACTATGGCACAATGGGACCTCTACGTGATGGGCCCTGCAAATGCAAAGGGAACAGGCTGTCAAGGCCTTTGAAACACTTAGTCTTAAATAGATAAAATAACCACAGAAGGAAAAAAAGAAGGGAAACAGACAGAAAGTGGTGAAGGGCCTTGTTCTGCATTGTACAACAGGTCAGTGAAGGAGCTGAGAAATAGTTCAGGTCCTTTCTACCAGTAGGGTGCCCTCCCATTTAGACTACACTGTGTCTTTTTATTTCTATCTGTTTTTCCTCCTAATAAAGTATTAGATATTCATTCTCTGCTCTGTAACATTAATTGCATACTTGACAGTTTTGTTGACTGTTTACTAATGAAAGAATCTGTCCTTTATGAAGAGTATCAGAAGAAGTCCGAGTGCCACATAAGCTTTGCTTGACTCTTTATTTTGAGGTCAACTGTCGTGTATTGATAATTTGCCTGTGTTTCTCGTCAGGGCAATTTGACTTTTGACTGTCTGTCTGGTTTCTCAGTTCTTAGACACATCCCTAGAGATATTTAAAAAATAACTTTCACGCATTTCTAATTTTTCCTTGCTTTATTTAATAGACATACCAGTCATGTTCTAGGCCTAAAGTGCTTCTGTTTTATCCAACAGCACCTGAATGTAGGGTTTAATGTGGTTCATCCTAAAATGACGTCTGCTGTTAGCTGGACCAGCTGTCTTTGTTCTGTGCTTTTATACAGCATTACTTCAGCCTGTTATTTTTTTGTGGTTCTGCTTACTTTCCCTGATGATACCATTTTTGCTAGCTGCTAAGTTATTGAATCAGAGACTATGGTACTGTATGTGACTGAGATAGATATCCTGCTTCTCCTGCTCCAGGATGCTACATAGATACCAGAGCTCCTCTAAGCAGGAAGTACACTGAGATATTTTCAAAGTGAGTGTCTAAAATAGGGACATATAGTGAACCTCTCTACAGTATCCTGAGAACTAGCTGAAACAAGCTAGCCTAGGTATTAAAAGCAGTGTATAAGCATGGAACACCACTGAAAAAGTCAGGTAAGATCAGCACCGTACCTAGACTCCTGGCGGCCCCAGGTGAACTTTTAGTATCACACCCCGCTTTGCCAGAGATAACGATAATAATAATAATAAAAAAGTTACTATTTTTGGGTCCCCTTTCTGTCCGAACCCTGGGTGGCCACCCAGTTTGCCCATGCCTGTCTGGCCCTGGGTAAGATAGTTGCTGCTGTGCCTAGACTGCTTTCAGTACCTGAATCAGCTTGTTAACAGCTCTCTCAGGTATCTCTATTTTGTCACTTTAGAAAATGAGACAAGTACTCTACTCTGATTCTAAATTTCATCTTTATAATTTACCTTCAATGAAGATTCTCATGTCAAATTTGAATCAATTCACTGATCTGTCAATCTCAAATGACACCTTTTTCTGTATTCAGTTATCATTTTTATTATCCCATCATCATGCCTACAGAGTAGAAGATACAAAAGAAAAGGAAAACCTGGACGTGATAATGGTTCTACACTGATAATAAGTTCTGGAGAGACAGCCTTCTCTGTTCCACAGATTACATATGATCATATTGAAAGAGAAGACAAAAAAGATGTGGCTTTTTACATGGATGAACCTGGAGGTAATTTCCTTTTTGTTTGTGTTTAGGAAATATTTTTTGAAGACACACAGTTAAAATAACTGATCTGACAAAGAGTCTCTGTATAAAGAATTTTAACTTTAATAAACCAAGGTATCTAAAAGGAAAGATCCTTAAATGACAAATTCCAAGTGGACATATTAAATTAAGGTTACAGACAAATAGACATATGTTGTGGGCATTTAAAATCCAAAGGAATTTTTTTGTTCCTTCCAGTTTAGCTAGTTGTCTGTTTTAAATTTCTTGCACTAATATTACTCCATATTCAAATCCAAATGGAAAACTCAGCCTCTTAGCCTATTTTTCCCTCAGTACGTTGTCAGAGCACATACCAGTAAACTTAACATCTTGTGCCCTAAGAAGGAAGCAAGTGAGAGATTCTTTATTATTTATATGTTTATAGGACATGGAGATATGACTGTAAGGGGAACCATGTACATATTTTATGCTCATTTGGAGAGTGTACTTTTTTACTGCCTTCAGTAAAATACTGTGTGTTCCTGTACAACTTCTAAACAATTACTGGGTTTCACTCTTAAAACAATACTACTCCTGTGTTTATAAAATGCCTTGAGGTATTCTTATGGTGAAAGTCAACATGGGAATGTGAATATAACATAGTATTGTTACAGTTGGTGAACATATTTTTAGAAAATTGTTTTTTTTATCTGCAAACTACTTTTTGTTTGTTTGATTTGGGGCAAGGGAGTGGAGGGACAATAAGTACAATCTTGGAGATTACCAGAGGAAATGGGCTTCTGTGGTAGACGTGGTTCCAGAATGTGTGAAGTTCTTCAGAAGGCCTGCAAATCCTCACCAGGAAAAATAAGAAACCCAAAGATGCAATTTGGTCAAATACTGTGTTTGTTTGGAGGAGATATTTGACTGGGGCCATTGGAAGTTTCCAGTAAATGTGAGCATCATCTTTTCTGAGGTGCCACTTGGGGCTTGCACGTGATTTTTTTTTTTTTTTGGTAGTCTTTTGCTGTGATTTAGTTTTTATAGTTTCCTTTTAAAATGTATTTGTTTCCACAGAGCGTGCATGGTGCTCCTGTTGCCATGAGCACAGTAGAATGTGATAGTTTCCTTGAATGGTTTTGATTTTAAAAATTACAAGTGTGAAGGTAAAAGGCAGGACAGGTTGGCATCATGGAGACTGACAGTTTCAAAGAGGCATAAGCTTTCATAGGTGGCAAAGCATCCTATGAAGTAAGCTGTTGCCTATGAAAGCTTATGCCTTTCTGAATCAGTTCTCAAGATGGTGCCTTGCCCTGCCGTCTGCATCACTTCAGACCATTGGCAGCACTTAGGGGGTGCATGCAGGTGCACATGCACCCCCTGAGAGAAGCGCTGCCAATGCTGCCAGCGGCATCTGTGGGTGGCTGCCAACCGCTGGTCGGAGCTCACCATCCCTTCCCCCACTCCCTCCGCACCGCTGCCATGGCTGCCTGTGGGAGCTCCCTGCTCGCTGCTGCCATGCTCTCACTGTCATTGCCTGCAGGCGGTTGCCATGCCCCGCCAGCCTCTGCGGGCATGCATTGTTCATGCTTCAGACTAACATAGCTAACTACTGGTCTCTGCTAAAGGCCTTGTTACACATTACAGGTAGTATGTGCTAATTTAATTGGTGTTAAAATTGGCACATACTTTAAGCAGTCACATGGAAAGGGTTAATACCCCCTGTAATGTTCATTTATTGAGCTGGTGGGTAGGGGCATGGCTAGGAGCCAAGCGGCTCTGGGCCTGCTTAGCTCACCTGCGCTCAGGGGAGCATAGGTGGCCTGGCTTGTGGACACCTGAGGTCTGGCAGGCTCCCATCAGGCCTGCCAGCCCCTACCTGCCTGCAGTCTGGGTCCCCACTGCACCCTGCTGCCTGGATTCAGCCCACTGCCCCTTTCTTCCCAACCCCACCCCAAGGAAGCCTAGACTGGACCCACCACTGTCCCCCAGCTCCTGGGGCTCCCTCCCTGCCTCTCAGGGTTCCTCCTTTGTTCCCACTGGCCCTTGTGACTCACCCCTGCCTTTGTGTCCCCTGGCTCACCTGCAACTTCTGGTGCCGGCCCAGTGGAGCAAGCAGGGAATGGGCACCCACCTTCTGCCTTTGCCCAGACCCCCACACAGCTGCCAGTGGCAGGTGGGTTTCCATTCCCTGCCTGCTTCCCCAGGAGCTGCAGGGGGAATGGTGTGGGGATCTGGGAGAGATGTATGGGGGGAGCCCTAGGAGCTGGGATGAGCCCAGAATGGGAGGAGAGGGGAGATTCTTACTTAGAAGTTCCTTTGGCTGCCTTCACTGTCACTATGGGGGAAGATAGATCAGCTGGGAACAATGCCTCCTGGGATACTGGAGGGACCATTCCACTGGTTTTGCGCCTGTGGAGCAGTTGCACATGACTGCAACAGAAGCTGCCTAAAAACAGTTAGAGTTAATCTCTGTTGGAAGAGGATTATTGCTGTGCTGCTCAGAGAACCCTTAGCATGTACAGATGATCCTCGCCATTTGCAGGGGATATGTTCCTGTGATCCCCGTGAATGGTGAAATCCGTGAATAGGGCATTGTGTTCATGAACACAGTGCCCCCAGCAGCTGGTGGGGGTGGGGTATGGCTCCAGTGGTGGCAGCGGGAGCATGGTGGCAGCAAGTGCACAGCTCCCAAGGAGCTCTGTAAGTGTTTAAAGTGTATTTAAAATGCAGGTTTGGCATTTGTGAATATTTGAAACTGAAAATGCTGAACGCGCGAATACTGAGGTTTTCCTGTATGGACACTCCTGTTTTAAGGGCCCTTAACACACAGTTAAATTAACCTGTAACAATACCTCAAGAGTGAAGGTCATGTGGTTTACTATGTTGCATTATCTACCAGCTAACAATTGTGGATGTTCTTTGCCAAATGAGTAACAGGAAAAAAAAGAGTGTTAAAGCAATGTTTTAGCTGTGATGCTCTAGGAATTATGTGAGAGGCAAGGATTTTTTGTGGTTGATACCTTTTTATTGGAACAACTGCATGGTTGGTGACCCAGTGAGCAATGCTTTGCATTCAAAAGCTTGTCTGACTTTATCTCAACCATGCAGTTTTTACAATAAAAGATATCGCCCCAGAAAGTCCTTGCCTCTAGCTGGAAACAAAATTTCAGCTAGGGAACTGTAGACATATAGGCTAGGGACAGACAGTCAAAAAGCCTGAGCCTGAATTGATTCAGTCTTTGTAGGTTAGTCTAACTTGCAAAGCTTGACCCAATTTTGGAGGTGGATAGACATTCCCTTTTCATTCCAGAAATGCAGGCACATGCTTGCAGTGGCTCAGGCTAGAAGCTGAGGGGCACTAGACCACAACTCCCTTACCTTCCATAATACTGAAGCGGGGGTGGGAAGAAGCAGGGCATGGCCAGGCCCCAGCAGGATGCTCTGATTAGCCCAGCAGGGAATTGATGAGAATTTTTATCATCCCTAACTCAGTGTTTATCACCCGTTAAGAAGAGAACAGGGGACATTACCAGCTACTTGTTGATTCTGCCTTTGTCACCACACAGACCAGAGCCAGTATGTGTTCTGCTAGCTAATACACAGAAACCTCTCAGCAAGGCAGAGGGTAGGAGGGAATTCCTGCGTTAGCAAAGAGTGGCGAGGGGGAAGTGGGGAGAAGCCTGCCAGTCTCTGCAGTTGCAGCCAGGGAGCAGAGGGGCAGGGCCAACCCTTCTGTGGAGCAGAGAGCCCTGCCCAGCCCAGACAGCATGTCGGGATGCTTGGGGAATCTGGTTTATCTTAAACCAGCAAGGGGGCTGGGACAGACATTGCATAAACCAGTTTGACCCAAATTAGTTAAGTCTGATTCAACCAGGTTTATTTCAAACCAGGTTCAGCCATTTTCAAACAGGTTTATGTGCACTGAACATGTGTTTTGTTATAAGTTTAAACCAGTTTCTCATCACTTGAACCGGTTTATGTGTATTGTCTGTCCCTAGCCATAGTGGTATTCTGTTGTCTCCTGGGACATCTTGATAGACTGTTTTGTTTATTTTATACACAATATCTAGACAGAGATGCATCTGATCAGTAGTTGCTGTAAATTAATACCATCAAAATCTTTATCTTTGACTTCTCTAAACTAAGTTTTATTGAGGAAATTAAAATTGGCTGCTATCTATACTCACAATGCAGCTGAATTTATGCTAACTAAAAAAAAATACTGTGTTGATTGTATAAAGATTTAATTCATGTATATATTGATTTTTTCATATTACTTCGAATTGTTTTTATGTTTTTATTACACTTTTCACTACCTTTTTAAATATTTTTTTTCACCCATCTCTTGTTTAGTTGAGGTGAAGTGTTTATAACATAATACATAATACCTCATTAATTTGATTGTTGTTCACTGCTCCTCTACATTTTTTGCAAGGTTGGGAGCTCTTTTTAAAAAAAATGTTGTTTTTCCTCTGTCCTTTGTATTATTTGTCTAATACTTCCACTTGTGGACTATTGTGTTTTAATGCTATCTTCACTTGTTAACTATAGCTCTGTAACTTTACTTCTGTACCACTGAATTGTAGATTTTGGCATACCTTTAGAGAGATCCTGGTACTGAACTATCAATAGTCACAGTGCCAGACAAAGAAAAAGAATGTGTAATTAGTAGTACTAATACTTTAATCCTTTATATTCACAAGCAACACAGATACTGGAAAAAAGAAAAGTTCATGAAGTCTTTGTCCATTTCTCTGCCAGTGCACATTCTGTTCATTTAAACAATATTCTTTAAACGTTCACAGTGTGTTCAAGCAAAGTGCTGTGTCTAGCAGGTAATCTATCGAAAGACTAGCAGATTGTTGTACCAGTGGATAGAAAAAGCAAATTAAGCATTGTTCCTTCCTTCTGCTAGGGAGAACAACTAAAGTTCTCTAAAACTCTTAGAGGCAACAATACACAATATTTTAATTATATTTTTATCTGCTTTTATTTGCCAAAGTCAGGAGTAAGTTGCATAT